GCATCCATGATAAATGGATTTGAGCCTTTTCTCCAATATTTTGCATAACACAATCTTGCTGCATCAATCCTATAAGATGTTTGTTCCCTTTGCTATGCAGGGTACTTTCCATATTAGTTAATACACATAAACAGTGTCAAGATCTAACTACTTTGGCTGTTCGCTCTGTTTCGTTTCTTATTTGGGACAAAGCCTTCTCTGGTTTGCTACCCATAGCTCCAGCACAGTGGTTCACTTAAAGAGAGTGTTGCAACACTGTCTACGATTACAAAACCTTAGAAATTCAACTGGGAACATGCATCCTTTCAACATTCTTCAAAGCATCGTTGAAAAATTAGGAAGTGAAATCCAAAGAGGAATCAGATCCTGTTCTTCTTGCAGATGAGAGACCAGATGCCAGCTGTGTAATGAAAACTCAATTGCTATATACAAATTATAGATGAATGCCCTACAGTCTCTTTAATTTTTTAACTCTGTTTACTCAAGGTTGATACATTTTTATGTGTTCTTCAGAAACATTTAGAAGCAGACTGTCTCTGATTCGAGACAACTAAGTATCAGGTGCATATATCTCATCCATTCACCACATTTTTGAAAATTTGAGATTGATGTCCTTCATTCAGATTGATAGCCCAACCTGTCCCAAAGACATGGGATAGGCAGCAATAATCTCTCCCATGTAATGCTTCAAATCAAAAGGAGATTTTCATCCTGTCACTGTCCAGTCTCACTTCTTAATATTATTAATATTAGTATTAGTGTAATCCATCATTCATCACCACTGAATATTTCAGTCCCAGAGCTGCTGAAGATGGAATGAATCCAATTAAATTTTACTCACAGTAGACCCACTGAAAGTAATGGACCTAAGTTAGTCATGACCATAATAATAATAATAATAATAATAATAATAATAATATTTATTATTTATACCCCGCCGATCTGGCTGGGCTTCCCCAGCCACTCTGGGTGGCTTCCAAAAGAATATTAAAATACTATAATACATCAAACATTAAAAGCTTCCCGAAACAGGGCTGCCTTCAGATGTCTTCTAAAAGCCTGGTAGTTGTTGTTCTCTTTGACATCTGGTGCGAGGGTGTTCCACAGGGAAGGCGCCACTACCAAGAAGGCCCTCTGCCTGGTTCCCTGTAACTTGGCTTCTCGCAGTGAGGGAACCGCCAGAAGGCCCTCGGTGCTGGACCTCAGTGTCCGGGTAGAACAATGGGGGTGGAGACGCATTAATTGGGGGTGGAGACGCATTAATTTCAATGGGCCTACACTGGGTAGGACTAGCACCAAATACAATGCAATGAAATCAAATAACAAAAATCTAAACGAAAATAAAGATTAATAAAAAAAATTAAATGGCATAAAAAGTCCAGTAAATACAAGAAACAGATGAACAACTCCATCATAAATTAGATAGCAGTGAGGACAACAATTAAACTTTTCAATTTAACCAGATACTTGGTAAAGGAAACGGGATATACAATGACTAAAACAATCAAATAGTTATAGGCACAGTTCCCATCCCATCTCTCTCTGTTACTATTTTTGAACACGGACAACCTGTGCAGGGAATATCATGGAGGCTGCAATTCTGCAATTCCAGCCATCGGAGTAGCCTGAGCCGTAACCAAATGAATTCTGAAATGCTGCCTATATGGCATACTGTCAGCATATCTGTGGTATTCCCTTTGTTTTCAACTTAATCCTTTTGCTTCCTCTGCTCCTTCTTGGAAATGCTTGTTAAATTGGAAAAGTAAGCCCCTGGCTTGGAAGTAACCAACAGGTATGGTCCCAGTTACTGCTAATTTTTTTACTTTCCTTTTGATATGGCTTCTTAATCCAGGCATACACATCCTAAAACGAGACTATAAAATGGGATTGTTAACCTTTGCTTTTGTTTTAATCATTCAACTCCACCACACACCCAGCGGCTTTTTGCCTTAGCAACCAGGGATTTTGAGAATCCCTAAGAAACTTCAATCTTTCCACCTAGGAACACTTCTTGTGTATTCAAACCCACCCCCACCCCATCCCCGTTCCTCTCTTCTAACTCTCATTTCCCTACTTTCTCTATCTCCCTTAAGCTGCTGAAGAGGTACTCTCAGCTCCAACACAGCAAGACACCACCTCCCAGAAATAAGGAAAGGTATTTTAAAAATTACTCCTTGTCTGGAAACCTGGAGAGCTGATGCCAGTCTGTGTCAGTCCATTAGATAGACCAACAGTCTGCTCAGCATAAAGCAGCATTCTGTGTTCCTAGCCTAGAAGACGTGCAAAGGGTTTTGCAGGTGACTCAGGGACTGCTGCTGCACTGCACATCATTTGTAAGACGGCAAAACATTCAGGAGAAGATTCCAGGCTGCTTCCGGGAAAGGGACTGAAGCAATCCAGGCAGGAAAAAGGTGGAGGGGGAAATGAATGGCTTGTGTTTCACAACTGCTTCATGTGGCATTTCACCCTTTATTTCCAAGTGATTTTGCAAAGCAGGTTCATTATTTAGTACTACATAAATGGGTTGGGGGGGGGAGTAAGTCACTCATGACATCACTTAGGGTTGCCAGGGCAACAGCATCTCAGTTCTTGAGGCTCACGCAGGGGTGGAGGGGTGCGCAGGTGATGTCACAAGACTGCTAACTCTTCAAAGACAAAAACATAACAAAACCTGGTACCAAGGTAGATAGCCAGCAGTAAAGAGACAAGAAAGCCAAGCTGCGTGAAGGCCTGTAAGACTGAGGGCAAGACATGACATGCTATCAGGATTAAATCATGCTTTAGTTCTGTTTAAATGAATAGTGCTTAGTCGTGATCCAACTCACTCAGCCCCCTACTGCAAGCCAACCCACCCACCACCCACTCTTTTAATAGGCTTTTTCCCTCTGGAAAAAATACAAAGGATTTTTAAAATGACAACAACAACTTATGCAACATTTTCTTTTTTAAAGTGGTAAGTGAAACACTTTTCATAAAGCCCATTACACTCAGAGTAGAGTTCCTCATTCTAAGTTTCAAAGGCATTTATGTTAATACATTGCTACTGCATTTGTGAGGATTACTAAATTATGCTCTCCAGCTTTTCATAGATGAAGACGGAGACATACTGGAAACCCTCCCATCTTCATCCAAGGATCCCTGCCTGGCTCCATACACCCACCCTAAGTACATGCACCATTTTTATTCCAGAATCAATGGAGACTGAGTACTTGTTTTTCCTTTGTAATCTACACAATCTGCCAGCATCCTGGCATTGAAGCCTGCATTTACATCTGTCCTGGGCCCCACATAGAAACATAGACACCTGTCTTATATTGAGTCAGGCCACTGGCCCACCAAGCTCAGTATTGTCTATTGTAGCTTTCTTTAATTTCAGTGCCACCTTTCATTTGAGGATCACAGGGCAGTTTACCACATAGAGACGCAAAAAGCATAGAGTGAGAGACTAGGGTGATGTCCACTGTTTCCAGAAACTCTTCTCACTGTGAGATTTTGTGGGTGAGCTAAGAGTTTGTTTGGAGCCTGGGTGAGAACCTAGAGGCTGAGAGGGAGGGTGCGTCAGAAGGAAAAGGAATTGATATTGATTTATATATTTAAATGTATTAATGTAACATTTCTATATGTAACTGTGTGTTATTGTAATATTTAAAGTTGTCTGTTGTTGCTTCAGTTGTTGTTGGGGTTTTTTTGTATACTGCTTAGAGATCTTTTTAATATATTAAGCGGTATAGAAATTAAACACTCAATCAATCAATCACCAGGCAAGCCTCGCTAGGAAGAGCATTCCACAAGTTGGGAGCCATTGCAAAAAAGGCCTGCTCCCCTCCAACATTTCTCCAATGAAAATACAGATGTCCTATTCAATGTTGTTGTTGTTGTTGTTGATGATGATGATGATGATGATATCCTGCCCATCTGACTAGGTTGCCCCAGCCACTCTGGGTGGCTTCCAACACACATAAAATGCTAAATATTTTTTTAAAAAAAAACATTTCCCTATACAGGTCTGCCTTCAGATGTCTTCTAAAGATTGTATAGTTGCTTATCTTTTTGGCTCGGGGGGGGGGGGGTCACATAACTCCAATGAAAATAGGGACATCCTAAATCAGAAACTTCTGTAAATCTGTGACTGTCCCTGGAAAATAGAGACAGTTGGACACCTCACTGATGCTCATACCAAGGTGATGGGGAGGGTCGTGAGGTGACAGGAAGGAGGTTTGGGGTTTGGTGAGGCATGTGCTAGGAACAAGAAAGGACAACAAAGGCCAGTCACCACCAGTGATAGGGAGATGTGTGGGATGAAGACATGTAAACACCCCACAGACAAATCAGGATGGATGCTGATTGTCCAGTAACTGTTCTGTAAACAAAGCGGAATGAATGCTCATTAAAGAACAGATGCAAGACTCCTCCAGCCATCCTTTTTATTGTGACTGCATTATGATTTGTTCTCATGATGGTATCAGAGCAGTTGAATGTGGTTCCGCTTCAGGTTACATACGCTTCAGGTTACAGACTCCGCTAACCCAGAAATAGTGCTTCAGGTTAAGAACTTTGCTTCAGGATGAGAACAGAAATTGTGCTCCAGCGGTGCAGCAGCAGCAGGAGGCCCCATTAGCTAAAGTCGTGCTTCAGGTTAAGAACAGTTTCAGGTTAAGAACGGACCTCCGGAACGAATTAAGTACTTAACCTAAGGTACCACTGTATATTAAACAATGCATGTTTAATATAATATAAAGACTGCCATTCTAAATATACCTAATGGGCTTTTTCCAAGTGAATATGCATAAGATTGTGGGCTGATTAACCCAGGTTGCTAGGTGTTTAGAGTTGGGGGGGGTATTGTTAATGGGCAGCAGGGTAAATACCCTTGCAATATTCAGAGAGAGTGTGTTGACTCTTTTTGCCCCAGTACATGCTGTTTCACCTGAGTAATGAGAACATCAGCTTGCAAACGGCACCGCAAGCTTTGCACATGCTCTGTCTGGCGCGATGGATTCTCATTCATCTGCGGAGACTTCAGTTTAAGCACGGCATTCTTGCAGCTGACGGTGCATTCTCAGCAGTGCCCTTCTCAGACACAGGATGAAAGATGGTTTATTTTCCCTGTGAAATGATGGTACCTTAGGTCATTTCCAATCAACATTTTGAATAGGGTCTTTTACAGATGGAAGATATTGTTCTTCGTACATGACTGGAGTGTGGTTGCCTTTCTGATAAGCTGCAGCCATAAAGCAAATTTAATCCAGAAAGGAAGACTGGCGGCAGCAATCATTGAATGCGTTGTTTACTGGTGTAATATATGGGCTATTGCTACGGCGATTGCAGAGGTGAGGGGGGAAATGCAATAGGCAACCATGGATTTTAGTACTTCATCAGTGTTTGATCAACAGAAAGGTAAGCTGTTTGTTGTTAATGCTCATATTCATTCATGCTCATATGCCTGTTGCTGTTGCAGTCTCATTCACATCAGACAGAATGTTTCATGTTACATGTGGGAATTCTTAGACCATGTGAATTTCATGTCAAACTGTTCAATTAGACTATCTGCACATGTTGATTTTAAAAGGGGGGTCTATTTCAGTTTGTTTTAAAGGCAGCCATTTCAGTATGCTACAGTATGGAAATGGTTAACCAAAAGAGGTAAGTTCTATGGAGAAAACTGGCTGTGTTTGACATTTTCCTCATATTTGACAGGAGATTTCTACTTTTACAGCTAGTTTATCTGCATTCTGGGTTTTGTAAAAACCTAACTAATTAGGCTTCTTGGTTTAAATAAAATATTATGAATTAAGTGCAAGCCATTGAAAATTCAGTGGCTGGAGATGCTCTCATCTTTCAATAAATCCTTAAATTGATGGCATGGGTCAATTGTATATTCCAATCCAATAAGCAAAGGTGCATTTTATCCAGGAAAAGTTACTACAGAAATAAAATCACTTGCTCTGTAGTGTGATGGAAGAATTTTATTTCTTGGATTTCAATTTAATTTACTCTATGATTTTTTATTCTAAGTGCCCGATTCCAAAATTTCAATAACTTTTCATATGACTTTTGTACCCACCAAATGATCTGAAATCATGTCAGGCATTGATATTGCACCAAAGAACAAGAACCAAGGAACAAGGTGTTGATGATCGTCCTCTGGTCTTGTGTCTGCACCTGCAAGTTGTACATGTTTGCTAGGAAAGCAGAATCAGACCCACATTGAAAAGCATCTTGGCTCTATGACTTCATGAACGGGCACAAGCATAATGTTAGAGAATGAATGCTGTCTGCTCAGTTTCCTTGCCATGTCAAAACAGTTGTACTATTTTATGTATAGACCAGTTTTCCGTGCTGAAGTCTCTGCACTATCTATTAATTTTTAAGAAAAGGATAGTAATTCTAATCCACTCTAGTCACTGAGATGGGCATGCAGAGCTCCTCTACCCACAAATGCTTCTCCAGTTAATTTGACCAAGGGAGCAAAGCCATGAAAGGTTTCCTTTGAGTATGTGGATCTGCCCACGTCATGAATGTGAATGGAGACAGAGTGTGCATAAAAGCATAAGAACTGCTGTATCAGACCGAAGGTGTATGCAGTCTGGCACTCTCTCGTCTCCAGCAGCACCCAAGCACACACAATCAGGAGAAGCTGAGAAGCAGAGAATGATGGAGAATCCTTTGGTTCCCAGCATCTTGGAAAAAGGAGTGTCTAATAGTCTAATTCTCTTGGAATAAAGAAACTCATTTCCCAGCTAATGAGGCTAATAGCCACTGACGTACCTGACCTTCATGAATTGATCTCATCTGTTCCTAAAGCCATCAGATCACTAAACCTTTGCATCTTCATTACATGGGAAGGAGAGGGGGGAAGATAACTATGGATTCTGGATAGTGCCTCTGAGGATGTGCAGAGGGCATGCTGTGCCTCACTGAGGCTTCTACACATTTGAAACTTAGGGCAATGATAGAATTAGGTAAAGGTAAAGGGACCCCTGACCATCAGGTCCAGTCGTGGCCAACTCTGGGGTTGTGGCGCTAATCTCGCTTTATTGGCCGAGGGAGCCGGCGTACAGCTTCCAGGTCACATGGCCAGCATGACTAAGCCACTTCTGGCGAACCAGAGCAGCGCACAGAAACACCATTTACCTTCCCGCCGGAACAGTACCTATTTATCTACTTGCACTTTGATGTGCTTTTGAACTGCTAGGTTGGCAGTAGCAGGGACTGAGCAACGGGAGCTCACCCCGTCGCGGGGATTTGAACCTCTGACCTTCTGATTGGCAAGTCCTAGGCTCTCTGGTTTAACCCACAGCGCCACCCGCGTCCCTTTGAATTAGAATTAAGGTAAAGGTAAAGGTACCCCTGCCCGTACGGGCCAGTCTTGACAGACTCTAGGGTTGTGCGCTCATCTCACTCTAGAGGCCGGGAGCCAGCGCTGTCTGCAGACACTTCCGGGTCACGTGGCCAGCGTGACAAGCTGCATCTGGCGAGCCAGAGCCGCACACGAAAACGCCGTTTACCTTCCCGCTAGTAAGCGGTCCCTATTTATCTACTTGCACCCGAGGGTGCTTTCAAACTGCTAGGTTGGCAGGCGCTGGGACTGAGCAACGGGAGCGCAGCCCGCCGCAGGGATTCGAACCGCCGACCATGCGATCGGCAAGTCCTAGGCGCTGAGGTTTTACCCACAGCGCCACCCGCGTCCCTTTGAATTAGAATTAGCACCTCTCATTTTACGAATTAATCAATTTATTGCTTTTATCAATGCCCACACCTCTGCAAAGCTGCACGTGAGGACTAGCTTTTGCCTGTGTGTCTCCTCACTTTGTACTTGGCTTTTTCTGTATTCAAAGACAAGGCAGACAATAGGGAGCAACCCGTTGCACTTCCCACTGTCCTCCATTGACCTCATCCCACCACTGGCAGTCCCCACTGCCCCCGGTATTTGACAGTTTCTGCCAGGCTTCCCAGCATTTGGATATCACATGTTCATCATGCACCAGAAGATAATAGCATGCAGTTTGCCTGCTTTCCATCCCCTTCCACAGAAGTATCCCAGACTTTCGGATGCTATGGGAATACTGAGAGGAAAAAGAGAGGGGGGGATGCAAGCATTTTACCTTTGGATGTTCATGGACAGGCATAAATTAAAACCTGTGCCTGCAGCTGTGTGTGAGAGAGTCTTCCTTCGTGAAATCCAGAGCCCCAAACGTGCAGTTGTATGCAGGGGGGGGCTGTTATTAGACATTATTATGAATGAATGGGAGTGACAGGGCCAGCTCCAGATTGAAGGGATCCTCAATGTGGTATCCTTTGGTAGACCGGCTCCCTTCTCAGAGCTCCTCACCCTCTTGCTCATGAGGCTGGTGGCAGGAGGGGAGCAGAGCAAAACAGCTACGAAGCTGCTCTGGTGGTAGCTTGGAGCCGCCATGTAAATGACCCTCCAGTGCCCCTGATACAGTATCACTGCAGTGCATTGTGGGAAATCTAAATGGTGCTCCTCTCCCCTAGAGCACCTGAAAAGGGATGTCCATCAGCAGGGAGCCCTGCCAGGTCAGGTGCAAACATTTGTTTACTTATTTATATTTGTTTAGTTCTTTATTTATTGTGTTAATATCCTGCCTTTTTCTCTAAGTAGCTGCAGGTGGCAAACATGGTTCTCATACCCTCCAACTGGGACATGCAAAAAACTGGGTCATGCATCTTCCGGGAGCGGGCTCCCATGCGAGTCACATGACCCACGTGTGATCGTGACCTTACAAGATGTGTGTTTTTAAGGGCTGGGGCATGGGGGGCCGTGACACCATAGGTTGATTGGATGGACCCAAAGGGTGGTGAATGTGTCTTTACATGACGGTGGATTGCCTACTGCCCTTAAACAGGAGATAATGCATCCATTCCAGAATATGCCCACCTACCTGTCTGCATTTGGGTAAGGTGGTGGACAGAGGGATGGGTAAGACACTGCAGGAGTTCCTGGAGAATATGAATTCTTTAGATCCATTTCAATCTGGGTTCAGTTCTGGGAGTGAACTAGCCTTGGTCACCCTGATACATGACTTCTATCATGAATGGGACAGGGGGAATACAGCTCTGTTTCTGTTTCTCAATCACTCAGCGGCTTTTGATACCACTGAGCATGGCATCCTCATGGACCAACTCTGTGGGATGCGTACTGGGGGCACTGTTCAACAGTGGTTCCACTAAGGGTCATGTCCAGAGAGTAGCATTAGGAGATTGTGTTTCAGCTCCACGGTGTCTGTGCTGTAGTGTACCACATGGTGCAAATTTGTCCCTAATCTAACATCTCTGTGGTGTTGACCCTGCCCATCCATATGAGGCCACTGGGTGCGGTCATTCAGACTTCTGAGGCAAAATGTCATCAGCATGCTAATGACACATAGCTCCACTTCCCCTTAAAATCTGAATCAGGAGAAAGAGGCTGTACATGATCTGGACTACTGTCTGGCTGTAGCAGAGGAAGGCCCATAAACTAAACTTGAACCCTGGGCAGATGGAGGCACTGTGGGTTGGTAGTTTTTGTGTCTGGGACACTGGCACATGATCCGGGTGGGATGGCACTCTGGACATAACAGATATGGAGTTCGGATCTATCTTTGTCACTCGGATACCCTCAGTGTCTAAGTAGGAGTGCCAGCTATGGCCATTCCTGGATAGGAAGAATCTGGCCTTGTAACAAGAGTGGCAAACCGCTTTTGGAAATGGTTTTAAGTTGAATTAATTCAGTAATGATTTGTAATAATCTGGAAAATCAATAAAAAAATAATTGGGGGACTGTGGCTTGCACTGCCCATGACAGCACATGGGCCTCTGGCTCCATTCAATAAACATGTGCATGTTCAGCTTATCTGAAAAGGGATGCTTTGAAATTTGTAGCTCTGTGCATGCCACATAATCAGGATCCCCAGTCAATCAGGAGTCTCTTATCACACAGAACTCCTACAGGCACGAAGCTGCTCTAGAGTAGGGACCCCTTTGCAGATGTTGTGCTGAGCAGGCATATGGCAAGGGATGGCGCCAGCAGCATAGTCCCACTGCCCCCTTCTTCCCTTGCGTCTCCAACAGATGAAGATGGTCTGAAGAGGGCTTACACATATGTGAATGTCTTATCCCACTCTAAATATCAGCGGCACAGAACATGTGATTTCTTGAGCACTGACCAAAGGCCACAGCACGTATAAATAGTTTCATCTGAGTCAAGGGACCATTAGTTGCTAGGCTACCTTTCTGCTTACCAGAAAGAAAAGCGCCTCGTCTACTTGACAGTTACTGCTGTTGGCTGCAATCATGCAAATCGATGTGAGAGGAGGGAGGGGATTGGCATAAACCCGTTGCAGGCTTCGATGCCTTTGAGACATCAGCAAGTGCTGAGCAGCAGCCTTATTGTGGATTCCTCTTACGTAGAAATCACAGACTGACTAAACCACAGGCTGTTACACTTCCCTCCCACTGTGCTTCCTCTTCTGCACAGGCCAGTGAAGCCCTGCAAGATGAAAGCGCAGGCATATAGCATGGGGTAATATATTGTTACAGAAATTGGGTGCCACCCCCAGTCTTTGCCGAGTGGTGGCAAGATTCCAGGGGCTTCCAGGTGTTCACCCAGGGCCTGTGCTGCTGTGTTATACAGTACCATAACTGCATCAATGTACTGCCAAATCCCAAGAGTTTAACCCCTTCTAAATATGTATGTATGTACATATTTTAATCGTGTGTGTGTGTGTGTGTGTGTGTGTGTGTGTTGGCAGGGCCCCCCCTTTGATGGCTAACAACCAAAAAAGAATCTTTTAAAAATGTGTAACTTCTTTAAAAACTAAAGCACATTGAAAGCATATATAGCAATACTAGGTAAAGGTAAAGGGACCCCTGACCATCAGGTCCAGTCGCAGGTTGCGGCGCTCATCTCACTTTATTGGCCGAGGGAGCCGGCATACAGCTTCCAGGTCATGTAGCCAGCATGACTAAGCCGCTTCTGGCGAACCAGAGCAGCACACGGAAAACACCGTTTACCTTCCCGCCGGAGCAGTACCTATTTATCTACTAGCACTTTGACGGGCTTTTGAACTGCTAGGTTGGCAGGAGCAGGGACCGAGCAATGGGAGCTCACCCCGTTGTGGGGATTTGAACTGCCAACCTTCTGATCGGCAAGCCCTAGGCTCTGTGGTTTAGACCACAGTGCCCCCGCGTCCCTTTAGCAATACTAAACTAATACTAATACCAGCAGAACCAGCATTAAAAATATATTAAACTCTCAGATTCTAAAAGTTCTGGGGAGAAAAACACCTCCACCTTTTCCCCCCAAGCCAGGTAGAGCACACGGGGCCTCTGCTCCAGGCATGGGGATCCTGTGCCCTTCCAGATGTTGCTGAATCATGACTCCCACCCAACAGTCCCAGCCTGCATGGCCAATGGCCAGGGGTGATAGAAATTGTAGTTCAGCTGTTAAGTTGTGGGTGAACATATCAGACGACACAGCGATTCTTCAAACAGCTCTTGTTTATTCACAGGCCAGGACAGAACTGAACTGAAGGGTCCAGTCAGCCTGCTTATATAGAGCTCCAGTACAACGTAACTGTAACAACTTTCTAAAACTATCCAATCACTGAACGTCACTTTTGATCCCTTATTTGCATAACTATCTACAGTATCCCCCTGCTGGCCCAGGGTGAGAACTTCAGTACATAACATCAGCAACATCTGGAGGGCCAAAGGTTCTCCACACCTGTTTACACCAAAGATGTCACAACTGAAAAGGCCTTGCCTAACTGCATTTATTATTATTGTTATTTGCTACATTTATACCCCACCCTTCTCACCAAGGTGCCCATGGTGGCAAACACTTCTATGATAGAAAAATAGTTTTTTTAAAAATATAGCTATATTTTAAAACAGTTTAAAATATCTAAAAGCAATTAATCACAATGAAATAATTTTTTTAAAAAAACTAATTTAAAAAAGCATGTGTCTGAATAGGCCTGCTGAAATAGAATAGTTTTGAGTTTCTTTTTGTTTAAAAATTGACTTATAAGTGCAAATCATAATCTTAACAATCTAGATCATGATCTTCAGCTTCCGTCATCACCAAAGTGCATCGAAGACGTTTGGATTGGAACAGCAAAATGCCTGCCTGCCCTTTTATGTTAGGATTTGCTCCTGCGTTGTGAAATGATGTTTTTCTTCCTTCTTCTATGTGACTGTCTATAATGTGAGGGCTGTATTTAACCTTGTCATCGATCTTCTTCTAACCCCACCACCAACAAAGACAAAAACAAAATATTTTGTTTTCCCTGCTGCTTTTATTCCCACAGGCGATTCGGCAGAAGAATTCGACTTGACTCTGGTATATCAAGCAGCAGCTAATGGGGATATCAACACTTTGACGGCTGTCATTCGTGAAGATCCCTCAATATTAGAATGCTGTGACAGTGATGGTAAAGCGATTCTTTCTCTGGTTTTCAGTTGCTAAAAGTTGTAACTAATTGCTATGGTTCTGCTGTTTTTAGCATCACTTTCGACATCACAGTATCACGGCTAGAGACTTCCTTCTTTACAAGTGAAAGAAAAGGGGTAGTGATTACGGTAGTTCTTTTAAGACACATTCTTCCTCCTCTCTGTTCTCAACAATATATGGCACAATCATATATTATAGCTGCACAACTCCCAGAAAGTGAATTCTTCTCCAGTGTACCTAATAACAAGCTGAAGGGGCTGAAACTCAGCTGGACAGCACTGCTTTGTATGCAGAAAGTCTAGAGGTCAAATATTTATTTTTGACATTTATTTATTTTTGACATTTATATACAGTCATACCTCATGTTGCATTCTGCTCTTGTTTCGGACTTTCAGCTTACGAATGTGGAAAACCCGGAAGTGTTTACTTTTGGGTTTGATGCCCACGCACTCACAGAAGCGCTCAATCGCGCAATGCACATACGCAGAAGAGGGTGTGTGAATGGCACCCTGAAACAGACTAAGTCCGCAACTAGAGGTACTGCTATACCAACTTTGGGATGCGGGTGCCGCTGTGGTCTAAACCACTGAGCCTAGGGCTTGCTGATCAGAAGGTCGGCGGTTTGAATCCTCGCGACGGGGTGAGCTCCCGTTGCTCAGTCCCTGCTCCTGCCAACCTAGCAGTTTGAAAGCATGAAGTGCAAGTAGATAAATAGGTACTGCTCCGGCAGGAAGGTAAACGGCGTTTCTGTGCGCTGCTCTGCTTCGCCAGAAGCAGCTTAGTCATGCTGGCCACATGACCCAGAAGCTGTACGCCTGCTCCCTCGGCCAATAAAAGGAGATGAGCTCCACAACCCCAGAGTCGACCACGACTGGACTTAACTGTCAGGGGCCCTTTACCTTTTTATACCAACTTTGTCTTCCATCAATCTCAAGGTGGTACATGGTTCTCTTCCCCTCCATTTCATCCTGACAACAACCCTGTGAGGTAGTTTATGCCCAAGGTCACCCAAAAAGCTTCATGGCTGAGTGGGGATTTGAACCCTGCTCTCCCTGGTCCTTTTAGTCCTACACTCTAACCATCACACCGCACTGGCTCTCAATCTCCACAATCCCCAGCATCTCCAGGAAGGCCTTGAAAAACCTCTTGCCTGAAACCCTAAAAATCCACTGCTAGCCTGAGCAGACAACACTGAGCTATATGGACCAATGGTCAATTCAGGATGAAGCAGCTTCATACGTCCATAACTGTAATCCTAAATGTTCACAAACAGCAACTGTGAAAGATTGAGAACTATATACTATGGGAGCAGCTCTGGGTTGGTTGGTTGGTTGGTTGGTTGGTTGGTTGGTTGGTTGGTTGGTTTTCAGTGTAGAAACAATAATGTCATCTGTAAGAGTTTCAGGACAACTGTTCTGGTTAATGAATGAGGTAACAACAGGACTGCTTTACTATTGCTTGTGACAGTTATACATACGAGAAGTCAGAGGACCAGCAGGGATGGGGGAATAAAGAAAAGGCTGGTGAATACTTTCCTTTGCTTTGATGGCAAACTTCACCCTAGCAGTTTAAGCAGCATTGCTTCTTTGCAAGATTGTTTGCCTTGCTGGATAAAAACTAAAGGTTGCCTTTCAGCTGGCTGCACATCTCTTGTTTTAAAGCCTGCTGTGTTCTGTCAGTTGAGCTTATGAAATCTGAAACACCAAGGAGTTGACACCTACGCCCAGGTGAATTTTAGCAGTATCAGTCATTCCTTCTTGTATTGAAAAACCCCATGCATGTGGGGATGTTTCCAGCTTAGCTAGAATTAGCTACCTGAATTACTAGTTTTCCATATGCAAGGAGCTTTTGTCATGCTTTGAACAACAGTCATTTGAGTTCCTGAAGTAGCACAGTCTAAGGAAATCTGCAGCCAGGAAGGCTGAACTGCATGGTTTTTCTGAACATTTGAATTAGCTGCTGGTGTGTAAAGACATACCCCCCCCAGCTGCCTGAATAGCCAGCACTGTGGCACAACCAGTGGCGTAGCGTGGGTTGTCAGCACCCGGGGCAAGGCAAGTAATTTGTGCCCCCTAACCCGTGGATTTGTGCCCCCTAACCCGTGGATTTGCGCACCCTAACCCTAACCCCCAGATGTTGCGCCCGGTGCGGCCGGCCCCCCCTGCACCCCCCACGCTACGCCACTGGGCACAACTCTGCTGACCAGCGCCAGAGTGCCAAATTGGAAGGTACATCCCTCCTGACGTCCCAATTTGGAGGGCAACAATATTGGAGGGTATGTAAAAGAGCTATCTGTACATTTCTGTGCCACTCTACGTAGCTTGGTGTTCACGACAGAAGTGTGGAAGATGGAAGCGAAAAAAGAAAGTAAGAGGCTGGTGACTAGTTCCCCAATTAACTACTTGGATCTAGTTAATTTTTAAAAAGCTGCACCTAAAAATGAAAGTCATTAGGCTGGTCTTTCAGTCACAAAACATTGCTCCATCCACGATGGTTGCTGCTCCTCATTCCACAGTTTTGCTTTTGATTTGCCTCATTCGGTTTCTGTGCAGCTTTTGCATTGCAGAGGACAAACATTTGCCAACATGCAAAATGATCAGTGCATTAATAAACAAGGGATAAGAGACAAATTGGTGGGCACATGACAGGCTTAGGAGGCAAACAGTGATGTGGAATAGTAGATATATGTGTTGCAGGAATGACTATTATGTCGAGCTTCTACAACATGAGAGCTGTGAGAGGAATTCTAGATTGCAGGAAGCCACGATTTGTGATTCTAACATCCTGTTCCCCACCCGCATCTCTCTGCCTCACTCTCAAGCCAATAGTACTGATTCCTTTGCCTAGGGGTGGGAGAGAAATTTGAATCAGTTTAAAGGTAAAGCTGCCACATTTTCACTTTCCAAACAATACAGTACGTGAAATGAAATAGAGGCATCTTCCAAAATGTGCATGTTCCTGAATTTTGCAGTGATGTTTTCCAGCCAAGTCGGGTGTACAAAAAATTATATACCAAAGGGCACATTTTAAAATGCATCTATTTGTGAAAATAACACACACAAATGCATTCTGTGGGCTTCTTTGGGAGGAAGGGTGGGATAAAAAAAGTAAAGTATCGTTATAATTATAGGGGAAATTACTTTGCAAAAAGGCTTATGCATTTTAGTTAGGACTTAAAATAAGGAAACAAATCGTCTGCAACCCTAAGTGAAGCAGTTTGGAGCCCAATCTCCCCCAATTTATTCTGCCCAATGGGGGCAACTGGTGGGTAAGGTAAGGCATGAAGTCACCCTGAAAGCTCTTGCTAATGTTTAAAATAAAAAATCTTGAAAGGGTAGTGGGTGTAATTTACTTTGGTATCTGCCTCAGATTACTTCCCTTCCCGTTTCTCCCCCCTAAGCTAGCCAGGTACAGAATGAATACACACAAACACACATCAACTAACACAGTCATATAATATAGCTAACTTATGTGGAGTTTGAAACTGGACTCTCCTGAGAGGTAACAATACTTCCAGGAGTGCAAGCACTTTTTAAAGCAAAATAAAGCACTTGATATACTATACATGTGTTTTTTACTAAAGGTAAAGGTAAAGGAACCCCTGACCATTAGGTCCAGTCGTGACCGACTCTGGGGTTGCGGCGCTCATCTCGCTTTATTGGCCGAGGGAGCCGGTGTACAGTCATGTAGGCAGCATGACTAAGCCGCTTCTGGTGAACCAGAGCAGCGCACAGAAATGCCATTTACCTTCCCGCTGGAGCGGTATCTATTTATCTACTTGCGCTTTGACGTGCTTTCGAACTGCTAGGTTGGCAGGAGCAGGGACCGAGCAACGGGAGCTCACCCCGTCACGGGGATTCGAACCGCCGACCTTCTGATCAGCGAGCCCTAGGCTCTGTGGTTTAACCCACAGCACCACCCACGTCTCTGTATTTGTACTAACTGTGCCTTAAATGAAATACATTTTTTCCTTTCCAAGGCTGTACTCCCTTGATGCACGCCATCTCAGGACGCCAGCTTGATACAGTGAAATTACTGCTGAAGATGGGAGCCAATATCAACACCCAAGATGCATGTGGGCGCACTAGTTTATCTCTGGCAACCTACCTGGTACGGAGCTTTCCTTCCCCTGTACATAGTTTTTAGGAAAAATCAACAACAAAAAAGCAGCATTCTGGAACTATTATAGCATATGATTAATACTGGCAAAATACGACATTATCAAAGGGACTGCTGACAGTTTATATCATTAAAAATGCATTTGTTAAACTTGCAACAGCTCCACTAGGGTGGTTTTTTAAGCGCACACATCATCTTCTGAAGTAAACATTTCCTTTGTCCAGCGTTATGTCGGATATCTCTTCATCAGAAAAATTGTCATTCGGTAATCATATGCTGCGGAACTAGAAACTGCAAAACAGAAGGACATGTCCTATAGATTCTTCCTCCTGGTTGCTATAAATTATTTTATTGCACTGGAAATCATTTTTTGCATTGTGTTCATGGACCCCCACCAATGGCTCCCCCTAGTTCTATGGACCACAGGTTAAGTACCCCTGCTTCACAATCTCTGGGGTCTTAAGAGTGCCAGGTGCCAATTAACTCAGTATTTAGGTCCCAAACCTAGAGATATAGATTGCAGTCCTACGTCTACATCTTACCTAGGAGTAAGACATGCTGGAATCAATGGGACTTGTTTCTGAGTAGTCGTGTACAGATTGCACTGTTACCTTTTTTTAAAAAAAATTATTGTTGAAACAAATTCATATCCAGTACACATATTTTTTCAAAATTTGCACAGCCTCTTTCCTTTTGATTCGCTTTCAGGGGTGGCTGGAAGGTTGCGTCAGCCTGCTGAGAAATGGTGCCAAACAGAACATCCCAGATAAAAATGGAAGATTACCACTACATGCTGCCACTGCTGATCCCAATGTCAGGTATGCTCTTTGAGCTACAGATAATGAATCTTTTAATAGATCTGTAATCTGTAGCTTTTTCATTATTGCTCATAGTGGTTATAACATGTTCCCTCTTAGGTAATAAAAGAGGTTGATAAGACTCATTAGAATTTCAGCCTTTTTGTATTATTAATCATACTTCTCTACCTGCCTGGGCGTCCTGTACTAATAATTAACTGCACATAAAGGGTTGCTGGTGAAGGTTTTCACAGCTGTGGTGTTGCTTTCTGTACTTCAACCCTGGCTTGGTATTTCATGCAAGTTTTAGTCAGAGTAGACCTATTGAAATCAAAAGACCTTAGTCATATATCCCAGTGGGGCTTCACATATACTGTAGTTTCTGTAACAAGTGCAATTGCACCAACTGCAGGAACCAATGAGTGTTCATGAGTACAGCCTACATATGGAAAAAACTAGTTCATGCAAATACTCTTCCTATTTAGAAATGCCTCTCTGCTGGGTGAACAATGACCAGGCATTAACATAATTCACACAAGAAACAATAAAACGGGATTTAAGCCTTGTGTAAGTTTCTTCAAGGTAGTGCCAAGGTAAGTAAACAGACACAATTCCAGACAACCACATCCAAGACTGTGCAAAAGGTTGATAGTTCAACTCTGTAGCTAAGATTTGCCTTGAGACTACTTTTCCTCAGTTGTGGAGAACCACTGCGTGGAACTTTTAGACTCATGTTATCAAGAAAATCCATTGAATTATTGTGGTTCTTATGGGTTGTGATCCTGTGCACAATTTTGTGCAGGCAAGTCCCATTGGTTTCTGTGACACAGATGCATGCAAAACCAAAGACAGTGTCATTCTTATTTAATTTAATATTGATTCCCTTGAAGCAGGCAAGAAGCAACAGGAGCACTTGCTTCATTCTGTGCAAATCACAGCTTGATGTAGACGCATGTATGCAACAACACCTAATCCATTTTAAGGAAACAAACACAATATTACCAGCGTGTGTGCTACCTCTGATGAAAATATTGAACATTGTGCTTCCATGAGTGTATCACACACCCATTATGCTTCACAAACTGCTTCCATCCACTTCTCTCAAGCAATCTCAATTTTCAGTTGCTTTCCTAATTTTCTGGCATCCTTGTTCTTCTTTATACACATCATTTGAACAGTACTCTTGGAAGGTTTCAAGGCAACCAAGAGGGCATTATCATTAAATAAAACATCCACAGAATAGGGGCCAGCACTGATATTTGGAAAGGGAGCGGTAATTTAGTTTAGCAGCAACACAGAGAGATCCCTGCAAAATAAATTTCTACAGTCCCCATGGTAACGGGCAGACCTTTGGTCAGAGCAGAAGTGTGCCAGCTGTTCAGCTCCTTTTCATCTGTCTTATTAGCCCAAATCAGCAAAATTAGATCTTCTGAATATGATTACTCCATTACCAGAAAGCACTGCTGAAATGCCACAGATCTTCACCATGTCCATTTGTTTTTCTCTTCATCTTTGCTCAACATGGCAAGGAACACAAACAGCAATGCCCATGTAAGAAATCAATGTGTATCCAGAAGAAAATATAATATAATAATATTATTAATACTTTTTTTAAAAAAACAAATTTCAGCACTAAGACATCTCAAATTGTGCAGCAAAAGGGTATGTTCTGATACTTGTATAAATTCAACAAATTAAGTCATGTTACAGCATGTTGCCCACATTTGGTGGGGGTGCAGAGAGCAGTCCAGGAAAAGGGAAGAAAAATAAACTTTGTTGCATGAACATAAACTCTGTTCCGTGGATGGAAAGAAAGTTAGGATCCCAGCCACCCTTTCTATCTTTCTCCTAACACAACTGGTGTGTGGGTGTGATAATTCCAAAACTTTTTGAGTGATTGACATGACCATTTGAAAATCCCAATTCATTTTCCATTCATGGAAAGATAGTTACACACATGGTAGGATCTGTTTCATAAGAATAGTTCTCATTTCGTGAGCAAACTCCCTTCTGCTCATGGAACAACGGTGTTGGAGCCCTCTCTGTGGTTTACACACGCCCTACAAACCAGGATTGCAAACCATTTTCATAATGTGGTTTGCAATCTTGGTTTAGTGGGCAAGTGCAAATTTGTCAGTACAAAAAAGTTAAGTACATTTAGGTTCCATTGACTTCATGAAGTGAAAGCTAAGCACATGTTTAATTGTTATGTCACTATGACATAAAGGTGCTTCGTTCTTACTGAAATGGGACCATGACTTTCTCTGAATTTTGTTTTGCCTTTTATTTTGACGTGGAATGTCACTTTGGCCTCCTCAGGCTTTTATCTGTGCTGCTACAGCAATCTGATCTCAGCGAAATCAACCACCAGGACAATGAGGTAAGCAAACTAGCATCCCCTAAATTGTCATGTGGTGTATAAAGGTTGTTATTGACGGGTGAAGGAGTGCTTCATGCTTTAAAATCTGAGGGCCGGTTCACACAGACATTTAGCATCCACTTGGCCACTGCTATTTTTCTAGAAAAAGAGGTACAGGAACTCACCATGAATGCTTCCCTTGTTCTCTTATAATGGCAACGGCGCCCAACTGAGAGGGGCCAGAACTGAGTTCCAGTGAGTTCCGGATGAAAAAAAGCCCTGCACTTGGCCATTGTTATTTTCTGTCCAGACTACACCATACTTGGTGAAAACAAGCCAACAGAACTGTTTTCAATGACTGCAAACTAGGATTGAACACACGGACATACTGTTATAGTTTGTGGGGCTCAGTCTGGATGTTATCAGTAGGTCCCTTCTGATCCTGTATTTGTGAGGTTATAAGCTATATGAGGAGATAGGACTAACATTGGTTGAGAAAGAGAGGTATTTGGGGGTTAGGATGACCGCCAGAAATGTGAATCTATTCAAGGGCAACTGTGAAGGACGTTGGCTTGAAGAGAAGGGGGATTTGGAAATAGGGTTAAATTGGAAGTTGTTATTGTTGGGCCGAGTTGCTGTGGTGGGGATGAGGGTTGATGTGATGTCGGGGATGTTGCTTTTGTTTCAAACACTGCAAGCTTTGGATGGGAGGGATTGTCTCAGGAGGTGGCAGAGGGACGTCTCTAGATTTGGTTGGCAGGGCAGGAAGCCTCGAGTAAAATTTAAGATATTAACGGATGCTAAAGAAGGAGGTGGAGTTGCCCTGCCAGACCCCTAAATTTTGTTGTGAATCATCTGCTTTTTGTTGGCTGAGAGAATCGGTAGAATCCGAGACCAGGGAGAAGAGCTGGTGAAAGAAGACTGGAAGTTTAAAAACTATTTATAGAAATATTGCAAAATTAATGAATGTTAGAACAAAGTTGGAATGAAGTTATATGGCTTTAGCAGAAATGTTATAAGGAATTAAGTATAAATAGATCAATAGAGCATTAAAGGGAACAAAATAAGGTTAGAATGTGTTAAGATAATTATAGGATAGAAAACAGAGGAAGATGGAAAGGAATTGCTGAAATAATTAATTGATGTGGAATACAAAAAGGGAGGTGTGAGGAAGTCGTGGAAATAAGCGAATGAAAGATATGACATTGAAATTGTTTAATGTGTTTTAAATGGTCTTTGTTTTGTTTTATTTGTCTTATGTGTTAGTGTTTTGTAGTGTTTTTGTATTGTATTGTATTGTATGGTATTGTGTTGTGTTGTTTTTCATTTGTTTTTTCTTTTTGCTTCTTTGTTTGTAGTGTTTAAATTTTTGGAAACTCAATAAATATTATTTTTTAAAATATATATATAAGCTATATGAGGAAACCTGCTGAACTGGTCAGACCAGTTTCTTTGTAAGATAATGGCCTTAGCTGGCAAGTTAAGTACTTCCATTTACATGTCCAAAAAGATTGATTGCCCTGTGGTCATAGAGACAAATGAGTGGGCCTTTTCCCAACTCACCTGGCTGGCTGCCATGTCATCCTAAGAGGGATAACAATAGGTGAAGGGGAGCTGTGTTTATGTGAGTTTTGGCTGATACTGGAAGACACAGAGACTTGTCTTGCTCTGTGCTCAGGGAACCTAATGGGGAAGCAAGACCTGAGCAGTGTTAATGCTGCGATCCCTTCCATCCTATGTTCAGGTTGTATATGTGTACAAATAAAGCCATCCTAGGCTGGATCTAGACACAACAAAGAAGCATTTCAGGAAAACACACTGTAAACTTTATATGAGAAATCGCGTTGGCAAAAATGGAACTCCACAGTGCCATCTGGTGTTGCAGTTTTATAATGCATATAAAACACTCTTATTTACCAGCTCCTGCCAACCTAGCAGTTTGAAAGCATGTCAGTGCAAGTAGATAAATAGGTACCGCTCCGGCAGGAAGGTAAATGGCGTTTCCGTGCGCTGCTCTGGTTCACCAGAAGCGGCTTAGTCATGCTAGCCACATGACTGTACACCGGCTGTAAAGTGAGATGAGCGCTGCAATCCCAGAGTCGTCTGTGACTGGACTTAACGGTCAGGGGTCCCTTTACCTTTATTTACTAATCTAGCTGAGTTCCCAGTCTCCATTCCAAGGAAACTGCACCCTGGGTAAGCACTGACACCCTGGCGATTGGGAGGCACACATCATTACAGTTGCCTCTATATTCAGAGATCTGTGCCATTGCTTATGTAGCCATAATGGTGCCATGCACAAGAGAGAGGTATTAGCAGAATCAGGAAAACACCCAGATTTGTGGACGTTAAAAAAGAGGGGGATTTTTAAAAAAGCCCAATGAGGACTAAGCATGGCCAAGGAGTGCTGGGTTGAGGCACAAGGCCCCGTGAGATAACCTGTTTATCATTCATCCTGATTTGCTCACACAAATCTTACACAGTGGTTAGACTATGCTTGGCTTTATTGAGCTTTAATTCTAGTTTGTTTATGGGGTGATTAATGCACAATGAGCATTCATCCTGTTTTGGTGGCTGGGTGTTTACACATCTTCCCATTCATCATCCATTCATAGAATCATAGAACTGTAGAGTTGGAAGGGATCCCAAGAGTCATCTAATCAAATCCCCTGCAATTCAGGAATCCCACACTTTTCAATGCATAGCTCTGTTACTTTCCTCACCCCCAAAAAGGCCAGGGTGATTTTTAAAAGTGGGTATGTTGCACTAGGTCAGGTTTGGGGAACCTTTTTCTCCTGAGGGCTACTGGCAACCGTCTCAAGGCCACATGCTGGACCAGGGAGAGGGGCAAAAGTGGGTGCAGCAATTAATGTAAATGTTACTTTTGTCCAATGGGCTAGTTTCACCACACATTCAAATACCCCTCTAACCTCCATCCGGGACAGAAAGAGGCATCACCAGAGTTCAAAGACACATTCCAGGCAGGCAAAGGTCTTTGGGGTGTGAATACCACCACACCACCCCCTGTAAATCAGTGCAAAGTCTCCACAGAGGTAGTGTTAGGTCCAGGCAGAATGGCTGTTGCTTTTGGCTCCCTCATGGACATAGGCAGGTCTATTGTTTCATAACCTTATTATCCCTACTTCTAGGGCTTTCATGCATTGCCCCAAGCTTTGATGTCCTGGGTTGTGATTTTCAGGGGATGACGTCTCTTCACTGGGCTGCGTTCCACAATCGACCCCAGCACACGCAAATCCTGCTGCATAAAGGAGCTGATCCGGTGTTGGTGGACAAAGATTTTAAAACAGCTCTTCACTGGGCAGTCCAGGTATAGTACGGCTGTCAACCTTTTCAAAAGCAAATGTGTCTCTTCATTTGATCCTGTTATGTTCCATAATGTGAAACCAATGAAAGTATAAACAACAACAACAAATGAGTACAGTGGTACCTCGGGTTACATACGCTTCAGGTTACAGACTCCACTAACCCAAAAATAGTACCTCGAGTTAAGAACTTTGCTTCAGGATGAGAACAGAAATCATGCTCTGGCAGTGCGGCGGCGGCAGGAGGCCCCATTAGCTAAAGTAGTGCTTCAGGTTAAGAACAGTTTCAGGTTAAGAATGGACTTCCAGAAATAATTAAGTACTTAACCCGAGGTACCACTGTAATCTGTAAGATGAGCATGGGAAGTATATATTTCTCAGGATCCCAAATCTGCCTGGGGATCTATAGAACCTTTTTCATAAAAGTTAATCCAGTTCTGTTTCTCAGACACACCATTTGTAGCTAGGGAAGCAGAGAAAAGAATGCGACCGGGATTTGGCCATAAGGACAGAATTTTTTTAAAAAAATGAATTATTTCGCCTCTTATAAAAAGGCATAGAATTATGTCACTGTTTGTTTTGAATATGTCAGCATGAGTTACGTTCATACACCCACAGCTACCTTCAACATTCAAAGAAATGATTCACCTTTGTACAAACTGGCTCACCGCAAAGGCTGCTTAATGACAAGAAATGTAAAAGCACTGGCTTGTGGTTGAAAGAGGGGTGGAAATGGAATGTACCACTGGCTTAAAAGACACCTGCTGAGATCCAAAAATATACATTTGTGCAAAGGCTTCAGCCAGGCCCCACACCGGCACATAGTGTATTTGGACAAATGCCCAGCATGAACAGAGAAGTGCCAAGCCAGGCAGCTACAGCTGCCATCAACACCAATATCCACAATGCCTCTGGGGTCTGCCTCCAATTTAGTGTCCCTCTCTGGTGGTCCATTGAGGCCCCAAGGCGATCTGAAGATGGAAGCTACAGGTGCCTGACCCAGGGCTTCTCTTCAAAGCACGGGGCTGAGGGAGGACTGGATGGCAAGGGGTGATGCTGTTGCTTTCAGGGGCTCTCATCCCCATTGCTACCAACCCCCCCCCCTGCTGCCACCAGCCTCCGCCTGTCCCTGTTGCATCTGCTATCTGGTAAGCTCATCTGGGAAATCCCTAAAAGGGTGGTGTTTGGGGGGTCTAGGGGCCCCCTGGGACGTGGATGGTGCTATGGGTTAAACCACAGAGCCTAGGACTTGCTGATCAGAAGGTCGGCGGTTCGAATCCCCATGATGGGGTGAGCTCCCGTTGCTCAGTCCCTGCTCCTGCCCACCTAGCAGTTTGAAAGCACATCAAAGTGCAAGTAGATAAATAGGTACCACTCTGGCGGGAAGGTAAACGGCATTTCCATGCGCTGCTCTGGTTCACCAGAAGTGGCTTAGTCATGCTGGCCACATGACCTGGAAGCTCCCTCGGCCAGTAAAGCGAGATGAGCGCCGCAACCCCAGAGTCGGCCACGACTGGACCTTAACAGTCAGGGGTCCCTTTACCTTTACCTAGGGGCCCCCTACCCCTTCACACCTAGCTCTGACCCTGGCTCAGGAAGGTTTCAACTTGCTTTTCCCTTCTTTGAACAACAGGCCCTTAAGTCTTAAAGTGAATCCCTTTTCTGAATCTGTTTTAAAAGTTTTTTACTATGCTTGACAGGACGCAGTTTTTCCAATCCCCTTTGGGAGCACAAAACTAGTTCATTGGATCCTGGTCATCATTTGCTATCTACCCATTGGGAACATTTTTTTAAATGATGCTACCAGGAGACATAAGCAGAGCTGGGTGAAATACATATGGTTGAGCAATCTAAAGCTGTATTTTAAATGGGCATTAAAAATATTTTATTTGTGGTGCAGTAATACTCAGAATGGACTCTAGGTTTAGATTCCTCTTGATAAAAAAGAGCAGTGGAGACCTAGGGTGTCTTTGTAATGTTTGCTCTATATACAAATACTCAAGCAGAGCTTACGTGGAGACAAACAAATAGCAGATCTGCAGAGAAACATGGAGACTCCAATGAGCTTCACCTTCAGCTGACTCATAGCTCTCTCTGTCCCTTTCTTTGTAGTATCACATTCAAAACTCAAATCTGCTCTTTTGCAGTCTCTCTGGCCCTACCCTTCCGCTGTAAATGTGTTATGTTCTCCAAGCTCTGGTGGCATCACATTCAAAACCGTAAAGAGATTCCCAGCTATCAGGAGAACTTAGTCATTGGCTCCCATTGATAACATATAAACTGACCTATTCAGAAGCAACCCACCCAACAGAAGCACTTCTAACACCACTTTTGCAAAGATTTTACTAAGAGAAGTAAAACAGATTTAAAAGGCACTATTTATAGGGAGGGATGCATTTATCAAATCTATTGTAATAGATTGAATATTCTCACCCTGATCCCTCAGGTTTGAAGAACCATTTCTCCCAATATCTCTCATTCTCCTCTCATTCTCCCTTGATTCACCTCCTAAGCAATCTTCTGGTTTGTCATCCTGGGATGTTGTTGGCTCCTGGGTTGCCCCTTGCCTTCTAAGTTCATTTCTGGGCACAATTCAAAGTGCTCCCACTAATGCTTAAAGCCCTAAACAAGTTAGGCCCCGAAATATCTGAGTGACCACCCCCACAGACACCCCCCCCGGGGTGTTAAGATCAGCAGAGAGAGCCCTCTTGGTAGTTTGACTGCCCTCAGAAGTTCAGTGGGGTGCTGCCTCAGGAGAGGGCATTCCCTGGGGCAACCCCTAAGTTGTGGAATTCCCTCCTCGCAGAGGTATGGCTGCCACATTCACTATACAGCTTCTAGCAAATGCTGAAGACATTCCTCTTTACCGTGGCTTTTGACACCTGATATGTGTGTTTTGAGGACCCACCGTATTCCTGTGACTGTAATTTGTTTTAAAGGTTTTTAATACTGAATTTTAAATTGTTGTAAACTGCCCCAGAACCTACTGGTGAAGAGCAGGTAGTAAATTCAATAATAATAAAGCAACAAAGCTGGACTCATAGCAACCACTTTGACGAAGAAAAGGTAGCTGTGGTACTTTCTGCATTAGAGACTACTGTATTTTTTTCCACATCTCACAGTCAATTGTTTGTTTGTTTGTTTGTTTGTTTGTTTGTTTGTTTGTTTCTCCCCATCCCCACTTCCTCCCAAAGGAGCTCAGGGCAGGAAACAGACAAGTAATAAAACAATTAAAGTTTCTAAAAACTATCCTGCTGCCAACGGGAATTTTTTCCTACCGTTAACAACAAACTATCTTTTAAAGCACAAGTTACCATTCAGGAAAAAAATACCCCTGAAAATGCTCTATTCATGAGTCTCAAACTCTGATTGACACTATAAAAAGGTAAAGGGATCCCTGACCATTAGGTCCAGTCGCGGACAACTCTGGGGTTGCGGCGCTCATCTCACTTTACTGGCCAAGGGAGCCAGCGTACAGCTTCCCTGTCATGTGGCCAGCATGACTAAGCCACTTCTGGTGAACCAGAGCAGCGCATGGAAACGCCATTTACCTTCCCGCCGGAGTGGTACCTATTTATCTACTTGCACTGTGTGCTTTCAAACTGCTAGGTTGACAGGAGCAGGGACTGAGCAACGGGAGCTCACCCCATCATGGGGATTCGAACCACCGACCTTCTGATCGGCAAGCCCTAGGCTCTGTGGTTTAACCCACAGCGCCACCCGCGTCCTGCTATACATCAGTTTAAAATTAACAGACTGGTTGAATGCTAAATATAAAGCACATGCCTTTGCGGTGCATGAGGGAACATCATAAACACACAAAGTTAGTAGGAGCAGGAGTTGCTGTTGTTCATTACGTCTTCTTCTCTGCGAGCACACACATATATGGTTGGTTTTCAGAGCGGGAATCGGATCCTTTGCTCTATCATCCTGAGCCACCGCCAGGGTCCGTCGATCATAAACTACGACGATGAGAACGGGAAGACTTGCCTCCACATTGCTGCCGCTGCAGGATACAGCGACATTATCAGTGAGCTGGCCAGAGTCCCAGAATGCAACCTGCAGGCCCTCGACGTGGATGACAGGTGACCATGGAAACCAACTGAAAAGAGCTGCAGAGCTCTGGCAGGGGCCCTCGTTGTTTTTTGACCTACAGTGAAGGAGGTTTGGCAGCTTTGTTATGGAACGTGTCCTCTAATGAAATGATACTCTCCATGGATCCTCCTTGCTCAGCAACAACTCAGCAAGTGGGTTCCTTAACCTTTACTGTTACGGTTCTGTAAAGGAGAAAAAGCAAGTGTTTTTGGAAGGCGTTTCTTAACATGTTGTTTGCTTAAATGTTGGCCAGAGTTGATTTTGTGGCACCACGGCTCAGTAGGGAGGAGGCTTGTGAGTTATTATCTAATAAGTAATAAGATAAAGGAGGAAGTGCTTCTTGCACGTCTGGGGTTTAAAAGGGAAAGGTTTACAGGGTAGACGATGAGAATCTCAGGTAGGCTTTTGCCCTTTCAGACAGAGGGCTCCTTCAAATTGGGAGCCGTCTTCTGACAGCCCTTCAAATAGAGGACGGTCCCCTGTAACATGGAGCGCATGGCCTCCCTAGGTCCCAGAAGCTCTCATTTTATTTTTAAAAGCCTACTGTAAAAAGAAGAAAAGCCCACAATAGATAAGCATTTGTGTTTTTAGAACCAAAAGTCAGTATAGAAATGTTTTATAATTTTTTTTAAAGAGTTTCAAAATATAAGGAGATTTTTTTTTAATTGTTAAGAATGCTTTAACACTATGGTGTAAAAGCATATAATATCTGTTTTATAAAATAAAGTAATGCTCATGTAAATGATCTTGGAGCACTGAGGTTAAGCAGGTGTGGACTGGGTAGTTTTTTCTGGATTGGAGACCGTTAGGACCTCCATGCAAAAGTTGAATGCAGAAATAATAAACAAACTATTAAAAAAACAAACCTCTCTCCAACACACAATTAAACACAGAGAATTCAGTCTTCAAATATTTGTGCTGTGATGCAAAACTTTGATCTCAGCACAAAGTCCTACTGGCAAATCTCAAATTACATCCGAGTGTGAGATCTGTAAATATAATATTGGCTGTGCTGCCTAAATCCAGGTTTCTTTGGCTGCTTAATGTTCAAATTCAACTCTTTTGAAGTAGAGTCAGAGGAACAATGGAGGTGGTATTTCATAGGCAAGTATCAAGAAGATTAACTCGACCTGAGTGCATCTCATGAGCTCCAGGAATCTTACAAAGTCATGCTTTATAGGAAGTGGTGAACTACTATGTTGCCTCTGACATGGAATTGCATTAAAATGAACAGTTGCCATGCCTCAAAAATCCTGACTCCATAGAGGCGCTCCACCACCTCAGCTGGTTATTTTAGTCTGAATTTAAACAGCACAAAGCTATAAAATGATTTGTGTTTTTCTGCTCTCTAGGACACCTTTGCACTGGGCTGCAGCAGCAGGAAAAGCTGACTGTGTAAAGGCCTTGTTACAACTGGGGGTGGATTGCAGCCCAAGAGACATCAATGAGAACACCCCCCTGACATATGCTATGTACTGTGGGCACACAGCCTGCATCAAACTGCTGTCCCAAGAGAACAGGTAAAAACCTTCCCTTTCCACTTCTCCCAAAATAGCAAATAGGAACAATTTTAACCTTGGAGGTTGTCCCTCACTGTAGTTTCCCCTGAGGACCTTCACCTTGCTTCCCCACTCCCCACCCAACGTAATAGCCACACCATTGCAAACTGAGTTGCAATGAACATAGGAAGCAGCCTTATGCTGAGTCAGGCCATTGGTCCAGTAGCTCGGTGTGGTTGGCACTGGCTGGCAGCACCCATTCAGAGAACGAGACGTGAGTCTCTCACAGCCCTACCTGGAGATGGCAGGTACTGAACTTGGCACCCGTCTGTGTGGAAAGCAGATGCTTTATCCCTGAGCTATGTCACTTTTCCAGATTCTATTTTTGAGTTGAAACTATTCTGTGAGGTCATTTTTTGAAAAGAAAAGAAAACCCTCCTGAAAATTCATCAGCATTTTACCCTTAATTTCTCCCAACAAACACATTTTATGTTCAGTTTTGACTAGTGTTCATATTTTTGCAAGCTATTTCCCCTAATATAATGTGATTTCCCATGTTATTCTCACCAATTTGGTCACTTTCATGAACATTTTCCCCTAATATATGTATTTTTGTAAACATTGGTTGGCAAACTGCATGGTAAAATTCAGATAAATGCAAAATTCAAGCAATAGCCGTGTTTCAGTTTGCATATTGCCTTAGAAAGTGTGGATTTGATAGGTTCTGCTTTAAATGAGAACCTGAATCAAATTTCTTCCTCATCCCTAGCTGTAACAGCATTTGTGATGATTAACAAAACTCCCCGCGATACCAGTGCCATTTTGAGAACTATTTTCATATTGTGTTTTTAGACTCAAGTACTTTCCACTAAAGCTTAGAACAGGGGTGTTGAACTACATCATCCCTTACCACATCCCTGAGGCAGGTGGAAGTTCACCAATATTGGGAAGGTCACGGGTTCCCCATCCCTAATTTAGAAGCTGTGAGGACACTGTCATTATATAGTTTAGTCACTAGGTTTCATTGCACTTAATTGCATCTGGGTGGAGCATGGGTAGGCAAACTAAGGTCCATGGGCCGGATCAGGGCCCAATTGCCTTCTGGATCCAGCCCATGGACAGTCTGGGAATCGCCGCATGGATCACCAGTGCGCACGTTCTTTCCCTCTCCCTCCCTCTCCCTCACACGGCAGCTGTGGCGGCGCCTCCTCCCTCCCTCCTCCTGGCTTCTCTCTGCCCTGCCTAGAGGAGGAAGGGGGCTGGGCTTTGTTGGTGCCAGCAGCAGCAGCGCTTGAGCGGCTGCCATTTTAAGCATCCCCTCTCTGGAGCCCTTTCACGGCTGCTCATTGTCCCGCCGCCACCAGCCCCTGCCGCTCGCAAGACACAGGTAAGCAGTCACCAGGGCTCGTGGTGCTCTTGCATCATTTTTCCCACAAAAAATATAGTCCGCCCCCCCCCAAGGTCTGAGGGACAGTGGACCTGCCCCCTGCTGAAAAAGTTTCCTGACCCCTGGGGTGGAGTCAGGAGTTGGTGCAGCTTTGCTCTTGTTTAAAAGAGACGATAAAGTTTTTGTTGCACTTCCTGACTGGAGAGTCCTCTAGCTTTCCATCAGAGAAAGGCACTAGTTTTATTCACCTTTAAGTAGTGAACATAAACAAGGCTACCTTCCTCTCACATCAGTGCCGCACATATAAAACAAAAATGTACCTTTTGCTTTATATGTTTGCAGTTGCAACCCCAGGCTTTATATACGCCATACATTTAAAGCACACACAAAATCCTGGGAACTGTAGTTTACCCCTCACAGAGCTACAGTTCACAGCAACCTTAACAAACAGTGCCCATAATTCTTTGAGGGGAGAAATGTGCTACAAATCTGCTTCAAAGGTATCAGGAAGGATTCAGCTAATGAGTCCTATCAATGGAATCTCTGAGCAAGGGCAGGTTATAAATCTGAACTGGAATTTGTGAGACTAGAATCAGCTAGTCATGCAGTCTTTGTTCACTGTTCTAAATTAAGTTCAGAACAAACAAACCCTAGATTAGGTTTCAGTTTACATAATCCTCAATCTGATACATATCACATTCAAAGAGTCACGGACTATATACAAAAGAGTATTCTTTAGATATCTAAGTGCAGTTTGAGAAATCTACCTTTGCATGCACATTCATTTTTTTCTGTCCCTTAATAGTTTCTGATCAAACATGTTTTGCAGGTTTTAGTAGTACTTCAAGAACCTGCAAAGCCTGTTTTGCCAGAGATCAATTGAAGCAGGCAAAATTATGTATATCCAAGGAGTCTATCATTAGGTACTGCCTTAGAGCTGTGGTGGTTGTCCATTTGTTCTGGATTATTGCCAGATTCACTTGCAAAAGAGGTTCATGGTTTTCTTTAAAATACCACCATGTACTGAAAAAAAATCATTCTGGATACAAGATGTAACAATCACACAACTGCCCTACTAAATGGCAATGCACTATGAATCCTCTGTGCCTTTTGTATTGATGTGCTCTCCATTTTTGAGGACAGTCATCTACGAAGGTGGCAATTTAGCAACGTTTCCCCCCAGTCTTCTTAATATTACATTTCTCTGCCCTTCCCCACCCTCTGGTTAATGACTACAACTAGCCTTCTTTCCTGTGCTGTGAAGTGTGAGAGTGAAAATGTTTAAGCCTCTTTTCCGATAAATTTTCAGCAAACTACAGTACACTTCCTGTAAAGGTTTAGCAGAAGCTCACTACTTTGAGAGCAATCCTCTTGCTACAACCGTACAGAGCTTAGGATATTGGTCGGTTGGTGGGGGTTTTTAAAGTTAAAACTAGAACCTAAAACTAGAACCTACTCCCATTGTATAAATGTAGCTGGTTCTCTTAACCAGTTTGTGAGCTTCAACTTTATGTGTAACATTTTATTTAAGATAAACTTTTTTCAAATATTGGAGAATGCTGCGGGAATATATGTTTATCATGACTTAGCAGACATACCAATAGGTCTAAAAATAGCATACCAGTTGAAAAATGAGTACTAATTCTGTACACTTTCACTATTGCAAGAATTTAATATGCAGAAATGTAGAAACATCCTTTTTAATTCTAAGAAGTAACTATTGCACAAATTATGGGAATGGACTGAAATTCTTAAATTAACAGCTATATTGAAAGACCTAACAGGATTATGTTGCAAAAAGTAACATACAGACATGGATCCCTGTGATTACGGTAAATATATTAGACAGAAGTTAGTTTTTAAAGGAACAGGGGTAGAATTAAAGTACTCTGAATTAATTTTGTGTGTTTTTGTGTGTGTGCAGATAAATTGGTGTTGTATAATAATAAACATAATGTGTATTGTTAAACCTGATTTTTGAGAATAGAAGTATATGACCTAGTGAAAATTGCAAAAGTTGGGATATAAATTTGTGGGCAGAATTACATGTTTTAAATATGGGTATGATGGGTGACGGGACGTGGGTGGTGCTGTGGGTTAAAGCCTCAGCACCTAGGACTTGCCGATCGAAAGGTCGGCAGTTCGAATCCCCGCGGCGGGGTGCGCTCCTGTCGCTCGGTCCCAGCGCCTGCCAACCTAGCAGTTTGAAAGCACCCTCTGGTGCAAGTAGATAAATAGGGACCGCTTACCAGCGGGAAGGTAAACGGCGTTCCGTGTGCTGCGCTGGCTCGCCAGATGCAGCTTGTCACGCTGGCCACGTGACCCGGAAGTGTCTGCGGACAGCGCTGGCTCCCAGCCTATAGAATGAGATGAGCGCACAACCCTAGAGTCTGTCAAGACTGGCCCGTACGGGCAGGGGTACCTTGATGATGGGTGACAGTGTTTATTTAATAGTATTTTAATTAAAAATATTTTTCCAAAAGTCTCAAGTTTTGTTTTTGCTTTTTAAGTAGAGTGTCTAAAGCGCTATAGTTTTCTCACCATGGATTTATTTTTTATTATTGTTGTTGTTTTTATTATTCTTTAAAGATCTGAGTTTGTCCATCAAGTTTCCAACCAGAACAATAAATTCCTGAAGAAAGAAGGCAAATTCAGCATGCTTAACCAAATCTTCTGCAAAAAGAAGAAGGATGATTGGAAGTCAAACCCAAAAGACAAGAAAAGAGAGAGATCTCAGAGGGACGAAACCTCGGAGATGGATGACATTATCACCACATTTGACTGCATTATGGATGCCAGCTGCAAAGGTTCCTCTGAGGAATGTGTCACAGCGATTGACTTCAAACGAAGAAGCACGGACACCAAGAAGTACCTCATCTCAGAGAATAACCCCTCAGACTGCAATGGCCTTCCACCAATAAGAGCCCAGAGTCTCCCGCCCATTACTGTGGGTCATTCTTTTTTAACAGCTTCTCACACGACAACCCCTAGCATGAATTTGGGTACTGACATCCAGCATTTTGTACACCGGTCCCAAAAAAGCAGAAGTGAGCATGATTTGTCAGATCAAAGGAGCAGCCGTCAAACCCTGGACAATCCTTGGAAAGTTGACACCAACCAAATACTCACATGTAAAGTCTGGACAGCAATGCCTTCTGATAATAAACTGGTAGACGGATTGTACCCAGAAAGATCCAGTCATGTGCTGTTGTGCCCTCCCCATCTTCCCCACCTGCCCAATTCTCCATCAGGTATTTCCCCCCCCCTCCTCTCTGTATTTATTGCATGTGGTCCACGAAGGCCCATAAGTGCTTAGAATGGCATCATTGCATGCAGCAGTCAGAGCTGTGCTTATTGCTCTCAGTATGACAGTTTCCATACTGAAGAGTCAAGCCCCTATTAAGCTGAACTGTGGCTTTTTTCTTCAGAAGTGGGAATGAATAAACCCCACACAGTTCACATCATTCTCTTCCACACACTCGTCATCCATCCCCTTTTTGGCCATAATAATGCATATGCTCTTTTAGTTCCCAATACTCAACCGAGGGGATCAAGGAAGTAGGATAGTTTTGTTTCAAATAAGGCCAGATCCACTCCAAGCACTGGTCTAGCCATAGCATTACTATAATACCATTTCATTCGTTTTATATTACTTTTCAGTAATAAAAATTACAGTTTTGTTTTGTTTTTAACAATCAAATTCTTAATTTAGCACTACCTTCTGTTACCATCATGCATGGATGGCCAAGCTACAATGTAAGCCTTTATTCCATACAGATATCTAAATTAATGGGGGGCGGATTTGCACATGTACTAATTTGTCCCCATTTGTGAAATACCATCCTTCTTTCTAGTCGTCTGGCACCAAACTTCACAGTTATTAGGAACCTGATAATAACTGTTTCATTTCCCCAGCCAGGTTTTTAGCTGAGATGGATGAGTTTGAATATTTTAAATATACAGCGGTACCTTGGTTGTTGAACTTAATCCGTTCCGGGAGTCCGTTCAACTCCTGAAACCATTCAAAAACCAAGGCATGGCTTCCGATTAGGTGCAGGCACTTCCTGCACTCAAGCGGAAGCCACGTTGGTTGTTTGGCTTCTGAAAAATGTTCACAGACCGGAACACTTACGTCCGGGTTTGTGGCGTTCAGGAGCCGATTTCTTCAGGAGCCAAGCCGTTCAAGTACCAAGGTACCACTGTATATCATAAAACACAACCACAAAATAATAGCAAGTGGTTGTGTGTATCTGCAAGGCATCTGGGATGGCTTCTGGTTTGTGTTTTTAGAAATGAACACTTACTGGATTTAGAACTGGCATTTATTCCAATGACAGTGTCTGTGGTTAGTGCTGTGGGATTATGTGTTACACAGCTTTACCACTGGCACAGGCAATTTCTCTTGGATTGCTTTCATGAATATCATGTCTCAAGCATGCACAATCTGTTATATTTCAATTGATACTTTCAAAAATTGGAATGGAAACTCATGAAAGCTGTAAGCTTACACTGGTGAGATCTCTACTGAGAACTAGTTCCTTGGCTCACATTCTATAGCAAAAATTGGCCACCCTGGTACATTTTAGTATCACAACTGGTGAGCAGTGGACTGTTGTTCATGGTGCAGATCTTACAAGGTATCACAAAACCTAAAGTGCGGTTGGGGTACATGTTCATCATGAGTTAAAAAGCCCATATTTTGCTGTCACTGCAAAGCTCTTAGGAGTTCCTGAAATTTAAGGCCAAACTAGATTTAATGTGAGCAATTGCCTGTGTTTTTTATTATGCTAGCTAACGGGTCTAGGATGTGTTTACTAGCCATGATGGCTGTGCCCTAACGCCACTTTAAGAAGCATTATGCCTCTGAATGCCAATTGCTGTGAATCACAGGTGGGCAGAATACAGCTGTTCTCGTGTCCTGCTTGCCATATGCGTCTGATTGGCCACTATGAGAACAGGATGCTAGACTGTATGGGTCTTTAACCTGATCCCGCAGGTCTCTTCTTATTTTCTCTTATAACTCTTTCTCCTTATGCCCTTTCCCCAAGATAAACCATGCCTGTTCTGAGGTAGGGAGACAGCAGCACTATCTGCATGTAGGATAATACTGCTTTGTTGATCACTTGGGAGGTGAGAGAAAGGAAAGGGGCTTACAGAATCAATGTCGGCCCTCCTTTCCCCCCTGCCCTCACCCCCATATCCCACCCTTGTTAGGCTCAGTGTCTTTTCAAAACAAACACAATTTGTGTGTCTGTATTTTCCTTCCATTTCAGGGGAAAGCTTTCAACAAGCAATTCTAGAACGACCCAAAGTAAAAGAACTAACACCCATTCGGAACAACTTGGCTCCCATACTAAACCACTGTGTTCAGAAAGGTAAGAGTATTATCTATGTGTAATCTGCAAAAAAATGGTTTACTGACCACTTCCTCATCCCCCGCCCCCCCAAATATGCTTAATCCAGATCATCTAAAAAATATTCTGCAAAGCTTTAGGTCAGGTGTGGGGAAGCTTTGGCCTTCCAGATGTTGCTGAACTGTGACTCCCATCATCCCTGACTATTGGCCACGCTTGCTGGGGCTGATGGTGTGGCGGTGCAACAGCACTTTTTTCCCCTGGTGCCGTTGGGCCCGCCCTCACTTAAATATAGTGCACCCACCTCACAGAATACCAATTACCCAAATTCCTACAAACTACCCCAGATTATCTTATGGGGGACTTGTGTGAGGGAAAACTTAATAATTTGGAGTCTCAGGCTGGATTTGATCAAATAAACAAGAAAGATTTTATTAAACAAAGGAAGTTTATGACACAATGTGGGTAAAACATAGGATACTTCAGATTATATTGTTATTTCACTTCAGTTCTTCCTCAGTTGTTGCACAGTTGTTGCCTCTTAATACTTTGTTTCTTAAACAAGGTGGTACTTCCTGTCAGTTACACACCCCTTTTACAACCCTACTCCTGAGGTACTCCAAGTAACAGACCCAAGGGATCACCACACCCCTCTTAACTGGTTTGGGAGCCTTCTCTTTTTGTAGAAGAATCTATCCCCACCTGACTGGAATGAGTCCTAAGTAGACTGTATCCTCATATCTTCTACTTCTCCTGGCTCAGCCTCCCAGTTAATTCCTGGCCTCTTACTCTCACAGGACACCACACACTGTCCTTCACACTAAGCTCAGAGACTCCTTTCTCTAGCTTTTGATATATTCTTCAGTGTGGATGTTTCTACAGTACCCAGAACCAACTCTCCCTCCTCTCACTCCCTATCTCCCAACCTATTCTCCCAACCTCTATCCCAGCCAAAAACTGTTTCTCCAAATCCTCTCCTTTTCAACTCCCCCTCCTGGAACCCCGGCCAATCATAAGCTGCCATTCATTAGCCATTTGCTGGCAGGGAAAAAGAAAACACTTGGTGAACCAACCTGCCCAGCAAAAACAAACTTTTCCATCACGCTGGGAGCTGTATTTCAGCAACAGCTGGAGGGCCAAAGGTTTCCCAGAACTGCGTTAGGTTGTGACCATTGCTTATCCTATTCTTTATTTCTTACTATCATAGCCAGTACTGTGCACCAATAAATCCCTGTTGCAGTGTAGGAATAGTAGGCTATACTATATTGTAGTACAGTATAGACCTTGTAATGTTGAAAGCCTGGGTGGAAAATGTTCAAAACAAACGTTGGTGTTTTTGTCTGAATCACTTAAAACTCCTGCAAACAAAGTGATTTCTCCAGTAGTTTACCACAAACTCAATTTCCCCCAGTAGTCAGCATGTTGCTTCAGTGGTTTACAGTAGCAAGTGGTGAGGCAAAATATCAGCTAGCAGAAGCACTCTATTTGGAGCACAATGTTTGCATGGCTTTTCTGGGTTGTTTTTAAAAACGTTTCCCAAGTTAATAATTATTCTGTTGTACAAACAGGAATCACATTTTGAAGCTATAATGGGTAACTGTACTGTGATCTGAAAAAAATAGGCAATACTAGCTGTCAGAGCAACATAATTTAAAAACAGTCAGCCTGAAACCACATCCCGATAAGAGCCAATGTGTGACTTGCATTTTGATTAGTTGATTAGAGGAGCTGAGAACCTTTTAAATTAGGCACGATGTTGATTAGTAAAGGCATATCAAGATAAAATTTCTAGCCATTTCCTACTATGGAGAAAGGGTTCCTGCCAAGACAGAGAGAATTTGAATTAAGTTAAATTCAGGTTTAAATGTATATTATAATAAGAAGTGAACCCCACAAAAAGACATAGTGATTTTTTTAAAAAAGTAAAAAAGAGAAGGGGTGGAAAGCTGTATAGCTTAGGAGAAAACTTTAAAACCTGAACTTTTTAACGGTAAAATATAAAGAAAAACAAAATAGAATGGGTGTAAAAAGTAAAGAGGAACCACTTAAAAATAGAACTGCAAAAGAGAAGTATGTTATTCAGTGTTTATAACAAGTAGAATTGGCATAAAAAGAGAATAATGATTCAGGAAATGATATTTCCACATTTCTTTGGAGCAGGGGTGCATAATCTGCGGTCCTCCAGATTTTTCTGGACTACAATTCCCATCAGCCCCAGCAAACATAGCCAGGGATCAGGGATGATGAGAAGTATGTCCAACAACATCTGGAGGGCCACTGGCTGTGCACCCCTGCTTTGGAGGAAGGCCTTGAACAGAAATAAATATATCTCCCCTCCAAAGCTGCTATTTGCTTTTGGGATATTTAGTACCTTTAGCACCAAAGGCAGCATCCCTTGCAATGTGGATAGCCACTTCAGACTGAGCATTTTGGTTTTAATGTTATAAGGAGAGTAACAGAGACAGAGAGAATTATACCTTCCTTTACTTTCCTTCTCCGCTTGCCGTATTCCTGAAGCTCCTCACTTTCCCTGTTGCAACTATTTACATACAGTTAATAGCATGCAATTATTAGTGTCATGTCTAATTTGGCTCTGACTTCTGGTGTAAGTGGAGGGATTTGTTTTGCAAAGAAGCAGAAAATAAACCAAACTCAAATGCCTTTCACTCCCCGGTAAAGAAAACTTGCTTATGTAACTATAGGCAGAAGTCACGTAATCTCTCAGTAATTGCCACACTCAGCAAATAAAGTGTTCATTATTGGCTGCTGTGCATTTGGTTGGAGAAAATGAAGAGCCTTAGAAGCAAGAATAATTTGACCTCTATTCTTAGCCATATCAAAATAAAGCTGGCCAAATATTTGTAATATTGGTTTTGTTGTTTTTTTAAAAAGGCATATCCATTGCAAAACAGTTAATGTATAGATGAAAAGGTAGATTAGCATAAACTAAAACATCAAGACTGAACAGCAGCAGCAAAAGGAGTACTCGTAAAACATAATTGAGCTATTAGAAGAAGTTTAAGGAAATAAGGTTTTAAGTTTATGTTATTTATTAAATTTGTATTTAAATTTGTATCATCCGAAAATCACAGGCAGTTCACAACATCAATTTACAAAATACATGACAAAACAAACAAACTAAAGCAAACCAATACCCCTCCCCCCTACTCTCACAAGCACATTTTAAAGGCCATAGATTGTTCAATCTATCAAAGGCCTGGCTATAGAGAAACGCTTTTGCCTGGTGCCCACAGGGACGTGGGTGGCACTGTGGGTTAAACCACAGAGCCTAGGACTTGCCAATCAGAAGGTTGGTGGTTTGAATCCCCGCAACGGGGTGAGCTCCCATTGTTCAGTCCCTGTTCCTGCCAACCTAGCAGTTCAAAAGCACGTCAAAGTGCAAGTAGATAAATAGGTACTGCTCTGGCGGGAAGGTAAACGGCGTTTCCGTGCACTGCTCTGGTTAGCCAGATGTGGCTTAGTCATGCTGGCCACATGACCCGGAAGCTTTCTGTGGACAAACGCTGGCTCCCTCGGCCTATAGAGCGAGATGAGCGCTGCAACCCCAGAGTCGGCCACTACTGGACCTAATGGTAAGGGGTCCCTTTACCCTTTACCTTTTAAAGATATGTAATGAAGGCTCCAGGAGACCCTCCCTAGGGAGTGCATTCCACAAACAGGGAGCCACCACAGAACAGGAATGAATTCAGTTTTGTCTATGCTCAACTTTAGTTTGTGTTGTGACATTCTAGATGAGGCTACAGATAGATAATTATAAGGGGATGTCAGACACACCTACCCCTCCACATATCATGATCTCAATTCGAAAGCCACATACTGGGTTGACATCTTCATCAAGCTGTCCAGTACAACTCCAGGGTCTGCTTCTTCATCACAACCAGTTCAGACCTAATTAGCATATATGCGAAATTAGGGGTGAGGTTGCCTTGGTGGTTTGCAAGAGGCAAGTACCCAGTTTGCCCATGGAAAGCAAGAACAGTTGAAGTGTTAAGTATGCATAGTATAACAGTTTGACAGAGGAGCAGAATGCCAGTATTACGATGGTGCATCTTAAAGCAGTTATGAGCAAGTCATACATACATATTGCCTGCAGCATAGCCCACTAGAAGGCACTAAAAAATATACATCTGACAAGCTGCATTATCTCTTGGTTTGTTCTCTCATCTCACTTTTCTCTCTTTGCCTTCTTCCAGCCCAGCTACCACCCAGCCAAGCTTCTCAGGGTGTCAAGGAGACGAAGTCGTTGTCTTTAAACTCCTTACGGACTGGCGCCTCTGTTCTCCCACCAGCACTTACCGCAAAATCCCCCAAAGCAGGACTCTCTCAGAGTAATTTGCTGTACTCTTTTTTACCAGTGCTGTCAGCAGAGCCTCTCCGAACAAGCCGAGTCCTGCCTGCCATTCCAAGCCAGAAGGAACCCAGCCTCGCGGAAACACTTAACCAATCACACTGCAAATCAAACAGCGACAATTAGCTGAAGAATCCCGGGCCGTCCAACAACTGGCAGATAAAAAAACATTTGTACACATTGCTTTCCAATCCATTGTCAATGAGAGAGTTAGCAAACAGACTGTTTTAAAATTCATGCAGCACTTATCGCAGCAATCTATTGGGGGCATTTATTTAACTTAATAATATATTGGGAAAGTGCTAGCAAATGTGCTGTGGAAACAGAAGGGAGACAATGAAAACAGAGTTTTTCTTAACTTTGTTATTTAGGCCTGGGAGCCAAGCAAGAGTGCCTGTTATCAGTGCCCAGTCAAATGTACTTAATATTTAGCACATGTACATCTCTTTGAGGTCTGATTTGCATATGGTGCCACCTTCAGGAGGCCACTCAAAAGGATCTACCTGTGCAGGTACTCCAAACACCAGGCATTACATTTATCTGAGTTGAAAGACATACATATGCAGCATTTATATGCCAGTATTCTGTGGCCCAGATGGCAGCCATGTTCATGTGCAAATGCTCCAAATTTATCAGTCACCATATGGGCTAAGAACCTTTTAAACAGGATGTCCCTTATATAAAGCATGCACCCAGGTAAGTGCCTTTCAGAACTATCCCCACACAATGGTCTTGTTCATTCATCATGATAGGCTACAGGTTGTCTTCAACCATGGTTTAATTAAGAACGCCCCTGCCCTGCTTCTATTCCTTCTTTGTATTTTTCTGTTTTGTGGCTCATGGTTTGTTTGAACCAAGAAAATCATGATCCAGGTTCAGACGATGAAAGCCATACTATGGCCTTTTTGGGTGCCGCGAGATAAGCAGGAGAGGAATGGCATGGTAGGAAGCAAGCACATTTATGATTAAAGAATGGTTTAAGGCAAACAGGCTTGTTTTCCTGTGCAAACCAGGCCATATGGCTGACCCAGTTCAATCATCTCTAAGACCATTTTGAAGGTTGCATTGACTAGTAGGAGTGAAGCACACTTAACTTCCAGTGTTTTGTACCCTGAGTGTTGGCTAGGATTTTCTTTTCTTTTCCCCCTTTTAATTGGCAAAGGTTTTTTAATATATCGAAACAAAATATAAACCAACGGTTAAAAAAAATGTTGACTATGACTGTAGAAAATCTATGAACTATAAATAAAACTCATACTTTATAAATTTCTTGATGTTGGATTGTCAAGAAATATGCATTTCCTGTGTTAGGAACTGTTGGTCCCTGTGATCTCTGTGCTAAATATAGAGCAGAGAAGGGCAGACCAATGAAGAGCATTGCCTTTTCAGTTGTATAGTTGACGATTGCAAAAGAAATATATATAATGTATATATTTGCAAATGTACATTATCTGCATTCAGCAAACGCGCTTGGGGATTTCTCCACACAATCAGTTTAAACTTATTTGTGGTGCTTTTTCAAGCCATTGCAGCAGCACTGCTATATTGCTCTGTTCACAGTTACTCAGTTTTGCCAGCACCACCATGACAAATAAAGTACCGCTATCCAGGGCTTTTTGCTACAAGGGCATGTGTGGCGGCATTATTATTCTTATTATCATAGTTGTTATTGTTATTTATTAAATTTCAAGACCACCCTTCAGCTGAAGATCACAGGGTGGTTTACAGTATAAAAACACAGAAATATACAAACCACAATAACAAATTAAAACAATAACCCACACAAACATAGATTGCTTAATTAGCCATAGGTCTGGGAGGAGGAGAATGTTTTTGCCTGGTGCGTAATAATATGTCATGATGTACAACACATTCACCATTGTGTGGAAGGCTGTGGTCTGGTGATTTGTGTGCTAGTTGTTGGTGGGTCCTACTTTCCCTTCCTGCAGTTCTTTATCTTTAAACTGGACTTGGACCAGTCAGCCCTTCAAATAGAGAACTGTCCACCATTCATTTTCCTTCCTTCCTGCTTTCCTTCTAGAAATAAACAAATAATATTGTTCATTTGCCAGTAAGTGTGGCTAGAAGAATAAGGCATAACTATACAAACAGATTTTCATACTCTTATCTAAAGGAGGTCACACAAACCTATGGGCAGATGAAATCTCTTCCACCACCATCCCACTTCCTGCTCAGAGGGATCTGCTCCTTCTTCTCAGGTTACTCCTTCTCTGAAAGTTCAGATCCTTTTCCTCCATCTCAGAAAGGTCATGGTTATGCATAAATCCCTTTCCATCTTCATTATATCTAGCCTAAGTATGTACCTACCTACTAAATTCATAGGGAAATTTCTAAAATCTCTCCCAGACTATTCTCCCTAAATCTAGTCCCTAATCCTTCACAGGCTATTCTCCCTAAATCAAGCCCTGTTGAATTTTAAGCTTACAATAGGCACTTGCAGGTGGCCTCTTGAGAAGGCTATCAACATCTGCTACTAGCCAAGATATCTGTGCAGACCCTCCAAGTGCCCCTATTTTCCAGGGACATCCCTGATTTAGAGAAGCCATCCCGTTTTCTGATTTGATCCCGGAATGTCCCAATTTTCCTTAGGCTGTCCCTATTTTCATTGGAGAAATGTTGGAAGGTATGGAGTTATGCGACCCAAGGTGTATGAAGGCAATCCTGTAGAGGGAAGGGTCTTTTAAATGTTTAATGTTTTATTGTGTTTTATTTATATGTTGCAAGCTGCCCAGAGTGGCTGGGGCAACCCAGTAAGATGTGTTGGGTATAAATAGTAAAAATCACCATGGAATGGGACATCCCTATTTTCGTTGGAGAAATATTTGAGGGTGTGTCTGTGTAGTATTGTAGGTGACCACAAGCGGGGAGAGTGCTGTTGTACTAATTTACTTCATGACATTTTGTTTTCCTACAATTTTACAAAATCTTAGTGAGATTTTGCAAGCTGATTCCAAGCAAAACAATATGCTCAGAAACCTTCAGGCAATGATCTGTCTTTAATCCTCCAAAAGTACCATGCCAGAAATGTTCATGACTTCTTTAACCAATGTAGGGCAATGCCATCATTTTGGTAAGTGAACAAGACAACTGCATTACAGTCTGAATCTCTTCATTTAGAAGGGTGTGTCCATTTCATTTTATTGGAAGTGATTGTGGTCCTTAAGCAATAACAACCTTTTTATATGGTATTTTTTTAATGGAAGCCAACAAACCAGCTGGTCCTGATTAACACTACTGCTAATTTGTTGCCAAGAAATGCCTTCCTTGTAATTTTGTAGGAATGTATTTCCTTTTTTTATTGCAAAAATTGTAATTATGTTTCCCAGAATATTTCTGAGACAAGGACCAATCATCGCTGAATCGGAGCTCCATCACAATTACCATACCTTCCCCCATCCTTGAGTACAAAGTTCATCAGTGAGGAACGACCTACTGCAATCAAGTACATCAACAGGGGCCACAAGATGAGCAGAAAACAGTCACGGAAACCTGAGAATGTGGGTGGAAATTATACCATCAGCTTTGCTGCATGTCTTCAAAGTCTGCAGTGTAGGGAGAGCAGTTAAGCTTCACCATCACCACCAATTGCCTTCTGTAACCCCAACTCTCAACAGCTGTTCTCCTAGTTCAGTTCCAAATGAATGGTTTTGATGGAAACACAGTTCTGGGCTGGAGAAAAGAGAAGATGATGAGGGAGAAATTGAAGTAGAAGGCAGCACATAAGACAGGGGTGAGCAACCTAGGACCCTACAGACATTCTTGGACCCCAACTTCCATCATCCTCAGCACAGACAATGGTCAGCGATGATTGGAGCTGTAATCCATCTGAAGGGCTGTATATTCCCCATAAGAGAAGCATTAAGTGCCTTCCTTCCAACTTCTACTTCTGCTCTGAAAACTGTACCTTCCCAGTCCTGCTGTGGAGCTGAAGAACCCTGTGCTAAGTAATGAAACTCTGCTCCCACCCACCCTGTACATTTAGAGCAGTATACCGGTAATTCCACTCTAAACAGCCATGGCTTCCTACAAATAATCCCAGAAACTTCCTGAGAGTTGTTGGGAGGCTCCAATTCACAGAGCTATAATTCCCAGTGTGGTTTAGCAGTCAGGCCACTTACATCTTGGTAGCATAGGTGGGGTTTGGTCACTGGCCCCGAGAGGGTTTACTTGAGTCTGCAGTGAGCCCATTGTGGCAGGAACTATCCTGTTCTTACTGGGCTCCTGAGAAAACAGGGACTTGCTGGCAGCAACCAAAGCAGAATCCAGTCCAAAGTCAGAGTCCAAGCAAGCAGAGTCCACAACAAGGGTCAGGTGAGAGGCAAAGCCACAGCAGTCTACAAACACTGGAGCTATTTCTTGTATCTAAACAGAACTGTTAAGTTCCCTGAAATTAGTTATTGCCTCAGTTATGTTCTTGGATTTGTGTATTCAATTCAGGAACCGTTTGTACATGTCCCTTGCCAAAGGTTAGAAGCAGCTATTGGAGAAAAGGTACTCGTGGATGGAATGCTTTTGTTGTGTTTTGTTTTAAAGCCTGTTGATCTGCAAACAGTATCAGTCATGCCAGGCAGGGCAAAGCAGCCTCACCCCTGAAGTTCTTCCAACTGATTGGTGCAGCAGCAGTAGTGAAGGAAACTTGCTTAACATTTGCACCTAGATGTTCCCACTTGTTTGTCTTCTCTTTCATCATTTGTGCCTGTTTCTTTCTCCTCCACATCTTCAATGTAGACGTAATTCATGTATGTGATACACAAGAAAAACCACTCACTAACAGGAGTTATTGTTTACAAATTTAAAACAGAGTCCTCCCAAAACCATCTCCAAGATCACAACATGTCAAAGATGTGAGATATATTTTATTTTAATCTTCGTTTCTCTTTGGGCTTCTTTTAAACTAAATTCTTCATTGCCTAATAAATAGGAAGAATGTATGTTTGCTCCCATGTGCTTCTCTCACAAAGCAACACCTTATACTTTTCCCATATGGTGATAATTATTGTGCTTTAAAAAAAAAAAGGTGGTCTATAATTGCTGAAGTACAACTTCATATTCTTGTTGCTTCATACAAAGCAAAGGTTTGACATCTATTCAGAGATATCACTTTCTGTAGACAAGAAACCTTCACTTAGCTATTCATAGAATCATAGAATAGTAGAGTTGGAAGGGACCCTGAGGGTCATCTAGTCCAACCCCCCTGCAATGCAAGAATCAATTAAAGTATCCATGACAGATGGCCATCCAACCTCTCCTTATAAACCTCCAAGGAAGGAGAGTCCACCACCTTCTGAGAAAGTCCATTCCACTGTTGAACAGCTCTTACCATCAGAAGTTCTTCCTGATGTTTAGTCGGAATTGCCTTTTTTGTAATTTGAATACATTGGTTCGAATCTTACCAGTTCTATGAAATCCCCTAAAATATTCACCCACTTCTTATAAGAATCAAGGTTCTGAGTTACAGGAAAAGGCATGGGATGGGCTACAGTCCATTTTCTTCTTCTTTCGTCAATTTCACAATAATACAACTTGACCTTGACCTTGAAAACAAAAAAGAGGGAATGTTCACCCTTTTCCTGTTTTTGTTCTTTGAACTTTTCAGTTGGGTGAACTCTCTGAGATTACTTTCTTTTCCCTTTTTTAAAAACTCACAAATGCAGAGCAAAAATGAAATGGACAAACAAGTGTTACACATCAGTTATCATTTTTCTATACAAAAGTGGAAACAGAGTGGAAAATATGTTGATCAAGCAGCCTTGCACTTTGACAAATTTAGGTTCATATTTGATCTAATGCTTTATTATTCCATAGCCTATAATGATTTACATGATCCACATTTGGTTTGGCCATTAGGTAGATGGGGGTTGCGGGTCTCTGCCCCCCTGACCCAATCTCAGTTATTCTACCTGAGCAGGCAGACAGTAAACCAGCCAAAGCACTCCAGCAGGCAATGTGAGTTTGTTCTTGCTTGTGTAGGAAAGGAGCAGGCACCAGGTGGAGTAGTGAGTGAGATGCAGACAGGTATTGGAAGACCAAGCTGTATGTGCCACACTGTGACCTGCCTTGGTCGCCTAATATTGCTGCTGTCTCAGCAGAGAAGCTGGAATGAGATCAAGCTGCAGTCCAATCAGCTTCTGCACAAGGAATGGGGGTGAAAGCATAATCCTGGCCCGATTGCACTGCCCCAATTCAAAGTGCTGGTTTTGACCTATAAAGCCTTAAACAACTGAGGACCCCAACAGCTCATGGACCACCTCTTCCCATGTTCGCCACCCCAGATCCTGTGATCAATTTTTTTCATTAGTAGTAGTAGCAGTAGTACTATTTTGTGTTCTCATTTTGTATTCTTCTGTTGTGAACCACCCTGTGATATTCGGAGGAAGGGCAGTATCCAAGTTTAATAAATAAATAATCTCATTTACTTAAGGCAGCAAAATGTCTTGAACTGATCCTGCTACATTCTGGCTCTACCAGGAATTGACTGGTAACACCAAGCAGTCGATTCAAATGGGCAGTTCCTGAGATCATCTGTGTTCAGATATAAGTGGATGCTGTTTTGAATAAAGATGGAAGCTTTCAAAACTGCACAG